GAATTGCTGAATGGATAGATTTGCGTCCGCAATGGGCAAGGTCTTTGGACTCATTGCTGGTACCTGATCCATTATGCTTTTTCATTATTATGTGAAAAGGGCCCTCGAAAAAAAATGTCTTTGAAAATGTGGACCTTTTGAAATTTGGGGGGTGCGTACGACCTGCACGACCCTGCAATACACCCATGCAGAGCGGCGCAGTCGTAGAAATCGCGGAATCGCGAGGAGAAATACGCGCGTGAACGCGCGCTCCGCACCTTCGCACACCGGCGACCCGGCACGTATTTATCGATGCAGCAGGGTGTATTCCAGGATTTTCTGTGGGTCGTGATCATAATTTTTGACGCTTTCAACATGAAATAACAGCAAGATGTGATTAAAATGTCAATAACAATTTAATTGAAACAAAACTTTTGTTCCAAAAAAAATTGTCAGTTTTTAAAACAAGTTTTCTGACTCAGTTGAAAACAGTCTTTTGAGCTGTTATCTTGTCTTTGTCTTGATCTATGTCTTTCTTTGTCTTGTCTTTGTCAGAGTCTTTGTCTCTCTTTTTGACTCAGTTTCAAATATTGTTTAAAAAAAGGCCAGTTTCAGATTGCTGGAATTGGGATAGATGCGTCACGCCAATTGCAAGGTCTTGGACTCTGCTGGTACGCTGATAAATTATGCTTTTTCATTATTCATTGTGAAAAGCCTCTTTCGAAAACATGTCTTTGAAAAAAATGTGGACCTTTTTGAAATTTGGGGGTCGTCGACCTCACGACCGCGCCTTGCATACACCCTGCAAGCGGCCAGCGTCGAAAATCGCGGGATCGCGATGAGAATACGCTGCCGTGAGACGCGCGCGACCCGCCGAGCTTCGCACACCGCGCGGACCCGCACCGTTTTATCTGATGGCGGGCAAGCCCAGCGTAGAAAATCGCGGGATGCGAGCGAAATACGCTGCCGTGAGACGCGCGACGCCGACCTCGCAACACGCGCGCGGAACACGGCAGCCGTATTTATCGATTCGAGAGCGCCAGTCGTAGAAAATCGGCGGGATCGGGAGCGAAATACGCTGCCGTGAGACGCGCGCCGCCGACGCTTCGCAAAACCGGCGACGCGCACCGTATTATCGATGCGCAAAGCGGCAGCGAGAAAATCGTCAGTGTGTCCTAGGCTCATAGTTCGTTATTTTACATTTTTTTCAGACTGAGTTCCACTTCTCCTCCCGTTCCGGAGTTGCTGCGGAAAATCCGCTTCGCGGAAAACTATCGGCCCTAGGTAAGCGAGGCGTCGTGGTGAGCACGAGTGTACATGACTAAATTAGGCTATGCACATGCGCATTGCAGAACTTAGCACAGGTTAGACACGATTGTGTACAGACACAGAGTTAGAGCGGGATAACTTGGTCGCCACCAAGATAGCAATGCTTCGTAAGTGGGGCGAAACTTGGAGGGCAAGCGCGTATTTGGAGCGGATAGCGTGTACACCTGAGTTTTAGCGGCGAAGTTAGTACATATCAAATTCGTAGTCTGTACGGCATATTAAAGTTACGAGTTGGTTTTATTTCATGATGAATCCAAGCATATTGAACGGTTAACGACGGTTTTTCAAAACCGGTCTATAGGTGCTTGAATAGCTGTCCACGATTGCTTGAGCCTATCACTTACTGCCATCTAGTGACAAGCTACAACTTTTATTCAGCTGACAGAGAGAAGACTGTGACAACTGTTGCGACAGTTAAATATTCGGATTTATACTAACAGCATAATGCTGGTCTTACCAACCTGATGTTTAATGGCTATCTATTGAAATAATAGCTTGCTAGACCGGTTGTACGAAATTTGTCGGGTATTTCGCTGCTAATATTACGCATGTGACTAGGTTGGCTATTTCTCGACGAGGACACAAACGCGAGCCTTTACATTGGAGAGCTGAAACGTCGGTAGATGCAGCGAGGAAGGTGTGTGAGCCGCGCGCGCTGTGTTTGATAACCAGGCACGACAGGTTAACACGCAGCGGTCGGCTCGTGTCGACTTACGACCGGAAACAGCGTGCGCGATGTGTGCTTACGTTTATTGAAAGTGTCTGTGCGTGCGTGTGTGTGTGCGCGGCTGATGCGTGGTGTGTGTGTGCGCGGTGAGTGCGTGCGTGCGTGCGTGCGTGCGTGCGTGCGTGCGTGCGTGCGTGCGTGTGTTTGTGCGCGGGTGAGTGCGTGCATGCGTGCGTGCGTGCGTGCGTGTGTGTCGTGTGTGTGTGAGTGTGTGGCGTGCGTGCATGTGTGTCGGTACTACCCATATACACTACACCACATGTAGTTACACGTATATGTGTTAATTTCTTTTATATAATCTATATATATGTATCCATTGATTTCAATTCTTTAAATAAAAGGAGTTTGGTCCGTAACAGGCAAGTATTGACGAGAGAGAACATTGGAGCCGCACGATCAAGTTTGCAAGGAGGAAAGCTCTATTATTGTCCGATGAGCGTCAGCTGATCAGAAAAGTTCATTAACACGTGGCAAGAAGAAATATCCAAACCATGTGCAACGCTTTATCACTGCTAGTATGGGTCATGCTGCTAGTGTGGAACATTGTCGATTGTCATTCACTTGTATCGAGTGACGTTACTTGTGCGAATTGAACATTTCACGATTTTGCACTTTAATTACTACTTAGTAATTAATAATAAATGTATGATTAAATATTTGGTGAATAATTAATATGTTCACAGGTCTATCAAGATAATATCTATGCCCCCGATCGGAATTCCATTCATTTAAGAGGTCTTGACAGGAGATGGGAGGAGAATATCTAATATGGAACTAGCTTCCTTCACTCGACCTCCAAGGTTACATGGGAGAGTAAGTGACTGCAACGTTATTAAATTGTGTTTAGTTGTATAATGAATCATTATGTCTTACAATATTGTACTTACAATTTGTTTAGATATGTTTATGGTGATTTAAGTACCTTTGCTTGAATAAAGTTACAAAGTTATGATCGGCTAAGAGATGCTTTCTGGAGGGAGGGTGCTCCATCACTGTCCCAGGCCACAATTAAAAGAATATTTGTTTGCCCTCACCCGACGCCAGGCTGAAAAGTTTGGGTAGGTAGATGGTCTTTTTTTGAGGGCAGGTTTTTTTTTTACAAATTCAGCATGATGTCTACATGCTCGGGTGTGGCTTGTTAGCTCATCTGACATAGTCAGATGGCAGCTGTAGAATCGCATGATCGTCCGTGCGGCGCGTCCGTCTGTGCGTTCGTCAACAGTTGGGCACAAATCTTAACGCTCGACGTACGGTCACGATATTCGGGGTGTTGGGGAATCGTCAAACGAGTTGGGATGTCAAAGCTGGTGGTCAAAGGTCAAGTCAAGAGTGTAAAAGAAGGGGGAACATTCCTCCTTAACTTAAGGTATAGGGTAGGAAATGCCAGAATTGCGGCACAAATCTAAACGGCTCGACCTAGGCTTGTGATAGTCGGTGTATAGCATCATGGTAGGAAGCCATCACTGTGCGAATTGAGGTTCACAGGTCAAAGGTCAATGGGGCACAGGAAGATTTTAGACATTTCTGAGGACATGGTCTGAGGAGCGATTGAAAAACTTTTTGTTTCAGCGCGTGACTATTTGACCATTTTTATTGAAAGGACCATGAATGTACTTTTCTGCTGACATGCGAGAGTAATGTCGGGGGATAACCTTTTGACCCTCAAGAGGAGGGTTAAACATGGATTTGTTGACTGTTAACAAGGACATGAACTGCTTTTGCCATTGTGGATGTGAGGCTACAGTTGCACAGTTCAATGCAAAGAAATGTTTGTTAACAAGGTTACGCTCCTTAAATCAATATTATTTCTAAAGCAGTCTGTATTAGCAAACCTGGTAGCACCCTGTAATAGCAGACTGTAATGAACCGGAATGCTCGTGTGTATAGGCAAAAACATGGGGGCAGCATTACGCATGCATGGGGGTGAACTGCACTATTCGAATCATAATTATTGCCTGGCAACCTGCAATGCAGATGTGTTAACTCAGCAGCTGAGCTGCAAATTCTTGCCTGCTGAATATACTTGGATTTCAGCAACTCAATGGAGTGAGGTTATCACGCACGAAGGGTGATGCCATCTTTGATTATTGATGCCACTTGCACGCGGCCATCTCGCGGAACTGCTTTTGCTATTAGAGCGCCTTCCACTGCCCCTCTCCCACTCCTCCCCACCACCACCACTACGCTCGCGCTTGACCATATCATGATAACATGTTAATATAGCGAAGTCATTAAAGTTACACAGCTGTATCTTTATCTGTACTACGTAAGGCAAAGCCTAGCTATCATAGATTTTAGCTCTGTATTAGTAGTATCCTAGATATATGCTCTTGAGCGCTAAACGCGTGATGGAGGGTGCTTTCATTCGTTTGCCAGTGAGTTTAGCATCAGAACACCTCCGTCAGGTGAGCGCTGTCGCTCTGCGGCACTTGTGGAAATACTTTATGTTGAGTGTTTGTTTGCTTGGTAAATATAATATATTACCTTCAGATTATATAATGTACAGTGATACAATTTGTTAAAAAAGAAAAAAAAAGAAAAAAAGATCAATAAATTTTTTTAGTCGGTCCCTTTTGGTGCGGTCAATCGGGTGAGGCAAACAAACAATATTTTTATTATGGCTCTAGTTAGGGGTGTACCGGAACTTGGATCGGCCGGATAGATCTGATGCCGGATCCCCATTTTTAGCTCACCAATATAGCGCAATGTTGTACATTCTTGAGCTTATTCGTCCACTAATCACGTGGCCTACCTTGTACTGAAATTAGTTTACAGATATTTGCTATCGTTTTGCTGTAAATTGTACTCTGCACGAGCTGCTCTGGTTGTATCAACGATTGAGCTATTTTAATGAGCAGATGTGCTCGCAAAGGGGTTAATGTTACCATTATTTATCTGACATCCATAGAATGGACACGTGTATTGTATAGATCATAATAACTAATACTATGTAATACGAATTATTCCGGGCTCCTTCGTTTTTGCAATTCGTCGTGCACACTGACATAGCTGCATTGACTGCAAATGCTTGTCTGACGAGTGCACGAATGCTTTGATAGCGCGCATCCTATCGGATTTTATTACACTAGTTTGAAGTTGTGTTTTTGGTAGAAATGACGTATGTATAGGACGTTTGGCTAATCACAAATGGATTTATCAGCAGAACAGCGAGACACAGATGAGCCGTGTTGCTCTGCGGCACTTGTTTAGCTCACGGACGAAGTCAGATGGCAGGCTGTAGAATCGAGATTGGTTCGACCGTCCGTCAACATGTTGGGCACAAATCTAATGCGTGACGTACGGTCTTGATATTCGGGAAGTCTGGGGATGCGAAAGGACTGCAGGATGTCGTTTGAGGGGTGCAAAGGTCAAAGGCGAGATGTGTCATGGAGGGGGAATATTTCCTGCCTTAACTTAAGGTATAGGAGGAAAATACGGAATTGGGCACAAACTAATCCCGGCTCGACTACCGCTCTTAGATATTCGGTGTATAGCTGTGATGGGAGGAAATCATTCACAGTGCGAAATGTGGAGGTACAGGGTCAAAGGCAGTGGGGAAAGGTACAATATCAGACATTTCTGAGGACGTGGTCCTAACGGATCGAGTGCAAAACTTTTTTGTTTCAGCGCGACGCTACATTTTTACTAATATATTGAAAGTGACATGAATCTAATTTCCAGCTGACGTTGCGAAGAGTAAGTGTCTGATAACCTTTTGACCTTCAAGAGGAGGGTTAAACATGGATTTGTTGACTGTTAACAAAGGACTGAACTGCTTTTGCTATTAGAGCCCCCTCGCTGTCGCTCTGCGGCACTTGTTCAGAGTTCCGGTTCTGGCCGGAACCCTTCAGAAACAGTCAGCCGGAACCGGAACTTTTTCCCAATTTCATTTCTGCTACAAGAGTCATCAAGATCAAAAGATCAGTCACTGAATGTAGTTGAGAGTCAATAGAGGCAACTTACTGATAATATAGTGTTAACAACTTCACACTATTCCGCCCAAAAAATGCTCGCCACTTGAACATTGGCTCACTAACGGAACTGAACCTAACTGATGTTAGGTGATACATATAAGATTTTCTTTCAAAATCAAATACGCTTAGAGCCACAGGAATGGCATCTGTCTGTTAGTTGAAAATAATAAACTAAACCCAGGGATACTGGAACATGCAGGTTTTGCCACAGAATTCGCTCGCGAATAAGATGCCAGAATTATGCAAATTATGCACTGTAAGCAGCTGATTCATACACCTAACAACCATCCTGTAATTAGAACTTTGACCATTGTCCTACTCGCCTGGTGATTTGCCTGCTAATGATATTTTGTTCAGGCCGAGTGAGTTTGCGCAATACTGGGCCAAAACTGTCTTCCCAGCTAAAGTTCCGGCTGGTTCCGGTTCCGGCCGGAACTTAAAAAGTTGGATCCGGTGCACCCCTAGCCCTGGTCAATATTTCTCAATATTGAAGGTCTCGTAGATGTGTGATTCATCTATGTAATTTCATGAAATAAGACAGTGTAATTGTTGGTATAAGTTATATGAAAAGTTATATGATATATGCTGTAATGATATATCATTCCTAATAATGTGTTAAGAGTAATCATAGGCTATGATATATGTATGCGTGCGTGTGTGTGTGCGTGCGATTGTGCGTGCGAGCGTGTGTGCGTGCCTGCGTGCGTGCCTGCGTGCGTGCGTGCATGTGTGCATGCCTGCGTGCGTGCGTGCGTGCGTGCGTGCGTGCGTGCGTGCGTGCGGACGTGTTGACGGTCCTGACTCCACGTTTTCTACTCGTCTAGGTGCGGCTACAGAGGAGGCTACTGTGAGTTTGTGAACTTTGACCCGCAGGTCGTCGCCATGCTACAGAAGTCCATCTCCGCGAAGCTGTGTCCGTCAATCTCGGGTCAAGTCGCGATGGACGTGGTCGCCGCGCCGCCGCAGCCCGGCGATCCGTCCTACGAGCTGTTCATGAAGGTACGTGTTCAGCGATCCGTCCTACGAGCTGTTCATGAAGGTACGTGTTCAGCGATCCGTCCTACGAGCTGTTCATGAAGGTATGTTCAGCAACTGTTCTACGAGCTGTTCATGAAGGTATGTGTGTTCAGAGCGATATGGATTGATGAATAGATAGATAGGTAGGTAGGTAGTTAGGTAGGTAATAGGTAATAGATAATAGATAGATAGATAGATAGATAGATAGATAGATAGATAGATAGATAGATAGATAATCTTTTGATTGCAGAACAAATGTTTAAAAATGTGAAATTTTATTTTTACAAACTGAAAACACGTTAGAATTTGAAGCAGGCAATATAAAATTGAGGTTGACGATATGTACGATCTCACTTAACAAATGACCATGTTCTTGTTTCATTAGTTCACAGTCTTTAACAGTACTGTACAGTCACAATAGCTAACGGTTATGTACATGTGTTGTGATGTTTATAGGAGAAGACCCATGTGCTAGATGCACTAAAGATGAAAGCCCAGATGACAGTAGAAATGCTCAACAGTCTTCCCAACATGACTTGCAATACCGTACAGGGAGCCATGTATGCATTCCCGCAGATCACCGTTCCTGAGAAGGCCATTAAGAAAGCAAAAGTAAGTAAGAGCAAAGCTTGATTTTTGCCGCGTAACCAATGGCAAGTGCCACGTCCATGCAGTTTAACAATGAGAGACTGACAACATGATGACATATACAGCGATGAGAATCTCCCGCGGATCCGCGGTTTCCCGCGTTTTTTACTTTCGAAAATTATCAATTTTCCAAATCGTTTAAATCTTTTGAGAAAACTGTAGGGGGGTGGGGTAGCGCCACCCGTGGACAGTGGAAAAATGTCCCGCGGCTAGTGATGCTCTTTTACCGTGTGAGCTCGCCATCCCGCGGCCGACAAATGTACTACTCGTCCCGCGGCTGACAAATGTACTACTCGTCCCGCGGCCGACAAATGTACTACTCGTCCCGCGGCCGACAAATGTACTACTCATCCCGCGGCCGACAAATGTACTACTCATCCCGCGGCCGACAAATGTACTACTCATCCCGCGGCCGACAAATG